CCGAGTCGGATACCGTCAACCATACTGAGGTTGACACATCACCTCTGGAATCGACGCACTAACTGCTTCCTTAATTTCAGTCTGTGACCTCGTACTCATGAGTTCTCAGTAAGTTGAGCGCAGTCCCATTAAGCTTGCTGAATGATGTTTATGTCACTAGAGAGTAGTATACGGCTTGGATGATATAATATAACGTTTCACAGATCACACAAATTTCAAACGTCACGATTAACATACACGCAAGTCAGTTCGCGATTACCCATGGAATTATCTTTTCTGATCGTTATCCTGCAGATTTAAAACATATGCTAAAATGGAGGCATTGTCTAAAGTGTTTTATAATCGTTCATATTCCTTATTTGATTGTCCCACGCATGCATCATAACGGTTCACCATAGATGACTTGAAAGATTTTAATTGTCTATGGGCACTTCTGACACTGCAAACCACTAACACTTCAGTAAAACTAATGGTCTTTGAGCTTGATGGGTCCAATGTGGACGATGATATGCTGATCTATAACAAATAGAGACAATAGCATGGCTTCCAAATAGCCGACATTGTCAGTTCTTACCGTAAAACAGGAAAAAGCTATTACCATTGCATCATTCGTCCTACAGCTTTCAGCACTGCGACTTCAAAATCCCTGTTTCTATTTTCAAGAAGTCATGCTAAACTAAGTAGTCTTGTCAACTGTAGAAAACGACTCTTGGAAGTAGGTGATTCATTACAAGGACGCTATCCTGTTTTGTCATTACCTCACAGTATGTTCCACTATACAACTTACCATGCACTAAGACCCGATTGACATTACCATTGCACGCTAAATTAAGTAATTCGTCGCATTTCGTCATTTGAAGGTCGTCTACCCATCTCACTGACAATAACTTTAAAAGAACCACGGTAACACTGCTGTAAAAGAAGCCAACGGAAAGCAAAACGAATAAGTGAGTAGTCTGAGATGATTATTGACATAACATCCATCCACATCTGATCATATCTTCCGCATCTATACAAACTTTTTAGCTGGTATCTTCCGGATGTAAGTACATGATTTGTACTTTGCTCGTTGGTTAAGGTTTCTCAGTAGTGCATATCCCCATCAGCGGTTCACGTTATCATGAGGCGGTCGCACTGATCACAGTGTTACCGGTGTCAACTTCTGTAAAACTGAACTGGCATGTTTAACTGAACAAGCAGTCTAACAAATTTTGTAAGTTCGACTTTGAGGAGATGTTCTTAGCTTGAGATTATCGAGTGGATTTAACAATCAGGTTACTGTATCGTCTCCTGAGGTATTCGGACAATTTGTGCAATACTCAAAGGCTAAGGTATCTGAGAGTTTAGATGTGTTAATTGAGCTTTCACATCATATGCGCCATTTTCAAACTATACAAGGCAGTAGGGAAAGGGCAAGCTAAAATCCGAACTTGTTCAACTAAGTCAAACGCTGTGACAAAAGCGGCTACACAAAGGTGGATCGCTTCGTCTCGGCCAGGCCATCGAAATAAGCCACCCTTGAATACGAAGTGTAAATTTTGCCGTCTCACAAAGATTGTTCATGCAAAAACTGAGTAAGCGTGTTCGCTCACCTCACTCGAAAACAGTGTGTAGTTGCTGGTGCATCACGTCAGGAGTCGAATGGATAATTGCTCAACACTGAGCGTTGATTGCTTTCTCAGATGAGACGCCAAGAGTTTTGGAGTGCCACTCTTAGTCAGAACAGATAGGCGGCACTATAGCTGAGGTTCAGTTGTACTTGGGCAATGGTATTCGAAAATAAACAGATGACGTCGAAGATATTACAGACAAATAGTTACATTTAACAGCTTACCGGCAAAGGCTGTTACGTAGCGTAAACTTGTTGATCTTGCTTGTTTAATAAAATGCATCATAAGATAGTCACTTTTCGACTCACAGATACTACATCTAGCACATGAATCTAAATCCGGTACCAAGTTGAGTACGCCTCGCATTTCATCTAAGCGATTCATATCCAAATTGCATCCTTGATGGTTTCTAAGAGGCGATCACGAAAACAGACTACTAATCTCAAGTGAGCTTGACTATGAACCTTGTTCTATTGCCATGAATCGAACAAATGCAATGTAACGTTGAGCGCAGCCGTTTCGATAC